TTGGAGTTTTTAATGGATACTAGCATATTTCATTATTTAACTACTGATAAAGACTGATTGGAACTTTAAGGGAACATAGGATAGTCTATGCGAAGAGCTAGGGCTTATAGGAGGAGTTCTCAAACTCTACATAATTGCGAGAATCCTACAGGAAGAACTCTATGTTTATAATAAAGTTCTAGGGTTCTAACTTCCCCTTCCCTTGACTCCCTTTTCCCTTCTATAAATACCCCTTGTCAACTGATGGCCATTGGCGCCAATTCACCACCAACAGAAAACTCCAATTTATTCAGTGCAAATAGCTCAATTGTGATACAGCACCTGCTGGGACCATGGAACAGCTCAATTGTGTTACAGCTCAGTTTGGAAGCAGCACTGCTGTGAAACTGTGAAGCAGCCCTGGGGTGAGGTGGCCCTAGGGAAAGGCCATTTCTGGCTACTCAGATCTGCTCTGGTCTGCTCCACCTGTTCCTATCTGATCCAGTCCACTCTGTAGGAGTCTGCTTCACTCTGCTCCAGTTCTGATCTGCTCCACTCTTCTCTGCCAAGACCTCTTGGGTGTTTCAGCTACAGCTGAAGAAACACAGTTTCTTTGGTGGAAAGAGAAGGTGTGCACCATGAGCCAGAGGGGAGCTGCCTTATATAGACAGAATTCCCTGTCCCTGGTCCCTGGTTAGTCCATCCTCATGCAAAGGTAGACTCCAAATTCTGGAAGTTCGGTTGCTCTAAAAGACACTGTCCTGATTGTTCAGAATGGAGCCACTCTGATTGGTTGGCGAAGATGCTGATGGGATATAGCTGCACAGCCCTGATTGGACAGGGAAAGTCTCAGTCCTATTTCTTAAAGAAGGATTCCAGGAACTCCTGGCCCAGGTGGCAGAAACAGTGCAGGCAGGCAATTCAGGGCAGGAGGCAGGCAGCTTGGTGCAGGCTTCTCCCTAAAGTGCGGTTTGCATGAGAGACCCTGTGTAGAGACCCTGTGCTAGGATCATCGTGTTTTTTTGTTGTTGTTTTGTTTTGTTGTTAAATTTGAGCCCAGTTAGCCACCAGGAGCCTTTCTTAGTAGTTATCTTCTTTTTCAGGCTCCACACCCTCCATCAGGGCACGCAGACCAGTGTGCACACATGGCTTGCTATATTCACATGCACTGGGGTGCAACCCTTCCTTTTTCCTGAATAAATTCTTTGAGTTGACGCTACCAAGTGACTTTTTAAAATCCTAATATAATGGTATTGTTTAATTTCATATTCTAAGGTTTTGTTACTACTATATAGAAGCTCCCACTCTCCTCCACCATCACCCCTATTCCAAGTCTACAAGCCTCCCCACTGTCTCCAGTCCTCAGCCCATCCACCTCCCTAGTCCTACTGCCCTGCCCAGTTTCTTCACTCCTCCAGAATCATGTGTCTTCCCAGCTCTCCAAACTCTCACCTCTCTCCAGTCCTCTAGTCCCACCCCTATGTTCAGTCCTCTAGTTTCTCCTCCTGTCCTGGGACCTCTAATCCCACCCCTCTTTCCAGTCTAAAGCCCTTCCCACTTTCCTTTCTCCTTTAGGTCCACCACATTTCCAGGATCCAGCCCCCACCCTTTCCTGAACATAATCCTGAGTTTGCTAGAAGGACCCAAACCTGACACAGACAGCTCCTTGAACTGTGCTTACAGTTCTGGCAGCAGCAATTAGCTTGTTTTCCTGTCTCTGACTTAGTCTGTCCTACACATGCACCTCCTACCTTTTACCTTCTACATTCATTTAGTTACTCCCTCCTTTTCTCCATTCCTAAAGCCTCACCTACTTTCCTTCGGCTGCACCACTCTTCTTTCCAGACTTCCTGCCACATTTCTCTCCCACTCCTACTGCCTGACTCACTTTCCTCATTCCTCCTGCCCATCCCTCTCTCCAGTCTTCCTCCCCAACCTACCTTACTACTCTTCCAGCCCTCCTCATTTCCCAGCTTCAAGCTCTCATCAGGTTCCTGAGTGTGCTTAGAGGACCCAGAACTGACACAGACTTCTTTTTTTTTTTTTTTTTAATTCTCACAGGAGGATATTTTTTCCATTGCTTTTTAGAGAGAGTGAAAGGGAGAGAGAGAGGAGAGAAACATGAATGTGAGAGAGACACATTGATTGGTTGCCTCCCGCATGCACCCTGACTGGGGCCAGGGATCAAGCCTGCAACTGAGGCATGTGCCCTTGGCCGGAATCGAACCTGGGACCCTTCAGTCCACGGGCCGACATGCTAACCACTGAGCCAAATCAGTCAGGGCCAGATCCTCTTTGAACTTGGTGTAATGGTCTGGCCACAGCAGGACCTTGTTATCCTCAGTTTCTGATTTAGTCTATGCCATAGTCTCACCTCTTACTTCCCTCTCTCCAAAACTCCATCCCCTGCTCTCTCCCCAGTCATCCCGCCCAGTCTGCTTTCCTCATGCTTTCACTCAGCCCCATTCCAGTCCTCCAACCACTGCACTCTCTCCTGTCCTTCAGCACCCCACACAAACCCCCTTGCTTATATCTCCTGCCCTAGCTGCTTTCTCAGCCACCAACCCCTCTCCATTCCCAAGTCCTCCCACCCCACTCTACTCTCCATTTGTACACCTTTGTCATTTATTAAATTTCCCCGTGTACTTGTCTGTTTCTGGATGTACTACTTTATTCCACAGGTCTGTCTGCGTTTATGCAAAAAAGAACATTGGATTTAGATATGAATTTAGGGGCTCTTTCTGCTCTATCCCAAGACTTTCTGTGGTATTTTAGGCACATTCTGTTCTCTTTGTAGGCCTAAATTTCATCATCTGTAACATGAGAGGCTCCAGTTAGATTATTGCTGTTTCTAGCACTAACTAAGATTGCCTTATATTGTTAGGAGCTGGAGAGTTACTGCTGCAGCCCTCCTGCCTGGAACTTGAGGCATGGAGTTCTGGTTTCCCAGGCCTGACCTTTTCTTTCACTTCAGTGTTTGGGTGACTTTGGATTCTTGTTTCCCCAGTCCAGGGTCTTATTGAAGGTAGGTTCATTTCTTTGGCCTTGAGAGGTTTTTCTCTGACCCCTTTCTGATTCTTCTGGCACTGTATTATGACAAGGTCACTTTATATATGTGCTTCTAAGTACCAGACTGGAAGGCTTTTGGGATGTAAAGTGGAACAAAATAATGAAAGTAAAATAATTTGGTTGATCTTTTAGATAGGACAGGGGTCTCAAGGCCTGGGCCAGCCTTACTAAATGGTATTATTGCTAAATGTTAAAATGTAGTACAGTATTTTGCAGACCAGCTGTAAAGAGGACGAGCCTGACAGGAACTCAGCTGTATAAATGTAGCCAACTGCAAAGAAGAAATCAACATGTAATTGACTGAATAGTGTATATAATCAATGACTAAGCCTTGCTTTGGGGAAACAGAGCTTTGGATATGAATTCCTGTCTCCTTTACTTGATGCAAGTAAATAAAACTACCTTGTGACAACTACCTCTCCTTCTTGAATAGAGCACCCCAAGCAGCAAATCCCTTGAGTTCGGTAACAGCCCTACTATGTGCCAGGTAGTTATTAGGCGTTTTACATGCATACTCTCATTTAATCTTTTTCTTATTACTTTTTTTATTGAGTTTATTGGGGTGACATTGGTTAATAAAATTACATAGGTTTCAGGTATACAATTTTATAATACATCATCTGTATATTATATTGTGAGTTTACCACCCCAAGTCAAGTCTCCTTCTTCATTTAATCTTTTTTGTTGTTAATCCTCACCCAAGGATATTTTTTCCATTGACTTTTAGGGAGTGGAAGGGAGGAAGGGAGGGAGAGAGAAAGAAACATCGATGTGGTAAAGACACATTGATTGGTTGCCTCGTGCATGCTGGGGACGAATCTGCAACTCAGGAACATGCCCTTGACCAGGAATCGAACCCACAACCCTTCTGTACTCAGGCACAGGCTCTACCACTGAGCCATACAGGCTCGGGCCTCATTTAATCTTTATAACAGCCTTGTTGGTGCACATTGTTATTCCCATTTTAAAATACGACTTAGGTAGTGTCTCCAACCTGTGCTCCCTTTCTACCAGATATGTAACTATTATAACATCCTACTATCTTACAAATGGTTCGTTTTAAAGGCCCTTTATTTGTCTGTAAACTAGAGGTGACAGCAGTTCCTAGCACACTGGGCTGTGGGAGTTAAATAACACTACTCAGTGGCTGCCATGTAGTTAATTTTTAAATAAATGTTAATCATATATGTGTCCCCACTAAGAAAGGAAATTGACATTTACCTTTTATTCATAAAGGGCCTAGCTCATGGTAGGATTAGTGGATGAAGCACCATTTCACTGGATAGCACTCCCGTTCAAGCAAAGGCAGGAACAAAGATTTTGTATCTAGATTATGAACTTTTGAAAATGTTTGAGCTGCGGTCGCGAGATTCTGATCCACGGTGGCTTTCAGGAAAGGTTGGTGCGATGGCGGGGTATTTATTTATAAGTCCCCTTCAAGGGCCACCAAGCTCGTGGGTATGGTGGGACCAGAAAGTCACCTAGGCTGAAGCACTGTGGTGGAGTCTACGTCCCAGTTTCGCTTGTATCCAAGAGGGGATCCGGTCGCTGTGAAGGCCACTCTGGAGGGGGGCTCCCAGTTCTGGGGTGGGAGTAGGGTCCGACTTCGTCCCTGATTTCCAGGGTCCCCCATCTCTATCCACCCACAAAATCCCCGAGATTCCTTCTCCCAGGAGTCCGTTTTTGTTCTTCCGGCACAGCCAGGTTCCCTCACAGGCCCTTCCATACTTGTCACTCATCTGCGCGCAGCCAATCAGCACCCACAGGTTGGACCACTAGGAGAAGGGGCGGTTACTTCCTGCTTGCCTACGACTGCGCCCACTCACGGGGAGGGGGAGGGGCCTGTAGGTGTGAGCGAGCCAATCACGGGCTCCGTGCGGCTGGCGGCTCGAGGCAGCTAGTCGCGCGCGCGCTCGCTTCCCCAAGATGGCGGTTGCAAAAGATGGATGTGGCTTGGGAGAGCTGGCTTCAGGGAACGGGCGGCGGCTCCACTTAGGGATTCCTGAGGCCGTGTTTGTGGTAAGAGTCATGTAGGTGCTAGGCATCTTGATGCTAGGCCGCGATCCCTTCTTCCCTGGCCTTGACTGTTGGGGGAAGGAGTTGAGCTAAGAGGTCTGGGAGAGAGCGCTCCATCCCCTCTTGCCCACCGCGCCTGTACAGACTAAGCTGTGCTGGGACCCGCCGTGGGGAAAGGCAGTCCCAGAGGGCCCGCGAAGAGTTGGAGGCCTGGGGCGGGAGGATTCAGGAGCGGGGCGGTCCTCACTCCCGAACGCCAGGTTTCATCCCCTGCTTCCTGGAAAAGGGGAGGCAGTAAGAAGCTTGAGACTCAGCCTAGATGCTAGAGAGACCTATAGATAAATGGTGACTTAGGATACAAAAATTAGGCAGAGCATCTGGTTCTAAAGTGTGAAAATAGGAAACGAAACCTAGTCTGTTGAGAGAATGCAGTGTTCTATTGCCTTGGAGAATGGAAGAAGAGACTGATTGGAAAATAGGATAGGGTGAGAATGTGAAGTCCTTATTTGTTATGGTAAGGAATTGAGGCTTTATCCAGTAGGCAACGGATTGTCATTAGGTGTCTAAATAAAGCCACAATATAATCGTATTTGGTTTTGGGTACATTATTGTAACAACTTAGTAATGAATCATGTGGAGTTGAGAGAGGAGGCATGGAATGCAATTTGGAGGCTTCACAAAACAGAGAGATCAACCCAAGTCCAAACAAAGAGAAAAAAGTAGATGCTTTCAACCTTCTTCTTCCATCAGGCTATTCTAGAAATAGTGTTTGAAAACTATTTGAATAACAGAGAAAACCTGACTGGCATTCCAGGCCAATGGTATCTTTCCCCACTCAGTTCTGGTTAAGCTACTATAAAATCTTTTTTTTTAAATTTTTAAAATTTTATTAAATATATCTTTATTGATTTTAGAGAGAGGAAAGGAGAGGGAGAGAGAGAGAGATAGAAACATCAATGATGAGAGAGTCATTGATCGAGCCCACAACCCGGGCATGTGCCCTGACCGGGAATCGAACCCTGATCGCCTGGATCCTAGGTCGACGCTCAACTGCTGAGCCACCCCCGGCCGGGCGCTACTATGAAATCTTAATGGAATTTTCTCGACCTTTTGGGTTGTACCTTATATTGCCTTTTCTCTATCTTTTTGTTAATCATGTCTTACATCCTTCAAAACACCCATTTCTTTTATTTAAACTACTTTTATATACACTGTATATTGCATATTTGTATTTGGTGGTTCAGTTTTGTAGTTATTCTTTATTTTGTGTTTTCTCCCTGAGCTGTGCCATTTGTTTCATTACATTTATCTCCCAGCTAATGGTAACAAGAGAAAACATTTGTTGAGTGCCACGTATTTTCCTAATGCTTTTACATAACTCTTGAGAAGGTGGTGCTGTCATCTTCATTTTGTAAATGATGAAACTGAGGCACAGAACTCTCAAGTAATTTGCCCCAAGCCACACAGAGTGTAAAAGAGTTTTCCAGGATTTTAACTTGAGCAATCTGTGGGCCTCCAAAGCCTCTACTTACACACGCTATGCCCTGGAAAGAAAGGGAGGTATTTATCTTGCTCACTGGCGTTTTCTCCTGGTCCTAGCACAGTGCCTGGCATAGTATAAACTCATAACTAGAAGTCTAATTGCATTTTCATAATGCCTTAAATACTGCATCATGTTCTTCAGCTAGAGTTGGCTTTAAAAATCTATTTCAGGAGGTTAAACTTTATTTGAGGGCTTTTAAAGTCTTAAAATACTTTTTTCCCTAAAATTTTATGTGGTTTTTTAAGAGTTAAAATTTCTACCAAGATGATATAATAAGCCATTCAAGTTACATGTATTTATTTTTATGTTCCCAAACTAATGGGAATAGCATGGTATTATAGGAAGACCATTGGCTTCTAAATAGACCAGAATTTGAACCCTGTCTCTACTTCCCAATTGCTGCTTAGTCTTTAGCATATTATTTTACTGCTTTGAGCTTCAGTTTCTTTAACTGAACTAGAGATAATGCTACTTAGAGCTGCTATGAGAAACAGAAAACGTGCTTTCAGTATTACAAGTCGATGCTTAATATATAGTTGTGACACCGTATCCTTGGGGGGTTGGTTCCAGGACCCTCCTACCCCCATATAAAATCCATGGCCGCTCATGTCCCTTTTATGAAATGGTGTAATATTTGTATTTAACCTGTGCACATACACATTCTCCCAAATATTTTAAATCATCTCTAGATTACATGCAATACCTAATAAAATGTAAATGCTATGTAAATAGTTGTTTTGTTGTTTAAGAAATAATGACAAGAAAAAAGTCTACATGTTCAGTACAGATGCAACCATTATAGGCCTAACTACATAGTGCACATCAGCAACAGCATAACATTTTTTTCTAATGTTTTTAAATCTCAGTTGGTTGAATCCACAGATGCAGAACCCATGAATGCAGAGGGCTGGCTGTATATTAGTTTCTGAGATGATGGGAAGCAGTATACTGGACTGGATAGAACTCAGACTTCGCCATTTCCCCATTCCCAGTGGTGCAGTAATTTGTTTTCTTTTTCTACTTGAATTGTCCCTTTTTCCTGTTGTCCATTTTCTGACCTCTTCGTCTCTCAACATCTAGTTCAGGTATGAACCCCCTACAGTTTTTCCTGAGCACTATTCCAAGATGGAGCTCTTGGCACTTGCATCTGTTCGCTTAGCACATTGTGTTAGAAACATAGCTAATATTTGTTCAGCAGTTATGAGCTGTCATGTACTCTTCTAAGCATTTTACGCATGGTAACTCATTTAATCCTCTGTGAGGAAAGGTACATTTTACAGATGAGGAAATTGAGGCAAAGAGAGAGGTTAAGTAATATTCTTGAGGTCAACACCTCTAGTGTATGGTAAATCCAGGATTCAAACCAGGCAGCCCCATCTTGTAACCAAGTCTTATGCTGCTATAGTTAATTCTCCTTGCTAGACTCTAATAACATGCCCATGTGCTAGAAACTTGGACTTATGTCTCTTTCCTGCAGTGACCCTTCTAGGGAGATGTTTTCTCCGTTTTACGTGCACAGCTCAACCATTGCCTCAGCTACACCTTTACGATTTCTTTTATTATGTTGCTAGTTTGATGGCTTCATAGTTCACTCCCTTGCTGTGTTTCTCTTCCTGTTTCTTCTTGCTTTGTTTGGCTAAAACATTCCCTTGTGGTTAGTAAGCATGGATAAGAATGATGATGTAGAGATGCCAGAAACCATAAGATGATTGGGCTTAACTTACAACGAAGGACCAAAAATGTAGTATACTTTTAAAAAAATTTATCTTTATTGTTGAAAGTATTACAAATGTCCCCTTTTTCCCCCCAATTGGTCCCCTCCCTCCTGCACCCCTCTTCCCAGGCCTTCACCACACTGTTGTCTGTATCCATGGGTTTTGCATATGTGGATATAAGTTCTTAGGTTAATCTCTCCCCACCCACCCCTGCCTTCCCTCTGAGATTCATCAGTCTGTTCCATGCTTCTATGTCTCTGGATCTATTTTGTTCATCAGTTTATTTTATTAATTAAATTCCACATATGAGTAAGATCATGTGATACTTGTCTTTCTCTGAATGGCTTATTTCGATTAGCATAATACTCTCCAGGTCCTACCATGCTGCCTCATAGGGTAAGGGATCCTTTTTCACAGCTGCATAGTATTCCATGGTGTAAATGTCCGAGAAGATNCTGTCTCTTATACACATCTAGATGTGTATAAGAGACAGGTATTCCATGGTGTAAATGTCCGAGAAGATGCTTGATATGATTTCAATCTTCTTGAACTTGTAGAGACTTGTTTTATGTCCTAGCATGTGCTCTATCTTTGAGAATGTCCCATGTGCACTTGAGAATGCATACTCTGCAGCTTTGGGGTGAAATGTTCTGTAAATGTCAGTTAAATCCATGTGATCTAATGTGTCATTTAGAGTCACTGTTTCCTTGTTGATTTTTTATCTGGAAGATCTATCCAGTAAAATCAGTGGGGTGTTAAAGTCCTCTACTATGGCTGTATTGATGTTGCTCTCTCCTTTAAAGTCCTCCAGAAGTTTCTCCCCCGCCCCCCCCCC